GCTCAGCATGACCTGTGCTCCATCCTGGTTCCTGATTTTGCTTGTGAGCTAAGGTTTGCTCAGTCCTACCTGGTCCATCCAGTTCCATTACAAACCACACATTAGCCAGCCATTGGAGCTACTTTGCCAGCTTGTCCAACCCCCAGGTCTGGACCATGTGTTCACCAGTGGGCGCTATGACCCACCAGGGGATTTTCTCAAGTTCCTCCACTTGACCCACTCCCAGACCCAGTTCTCATACATGCCAGTATGTGTTAGGCCAGTGTCCAACATAGTCTGGCCTTCCATTTGGCCTTGTATGAGCTGGTGAACATTGCAGCCCAAACTACCCCACACCCTAACTAGGATGCACATTCAGGTGCTGCTGTCTTGACCAGTCCAGACTGTTACCGCTTCCTTTACTTGTGGCAGGCTCCTTGGTCACACCTAGCCTAGTCCATCACCACCCCAACTCTTGAGCTAACCAGTGGGGCTAGTATTTCCACAGGGTTTGGCCCACACATCCCCCACAGAATCTATCTCCAGAAATGGTTCTCTCTTGTGCTAGCTGATGTCATGTCCCTGCCTAATGTGACCCATCTCCTGACCCATCATTATGTCAGATAATAGGATATGGTCCTGCTAGACAAGCCCTGAGCCTTAGCATTTGCATGGACTGGTGTTCAGTGGTCAGCATTGTTCAATATGTTCCTGACTCAGAGGAGTTTGGTATATCAGACTTTTCCATAAAGATTATCTTGTCCCTCTCCTCCAACCTACCAGGTCTCAGCACCCTTGCTTACTTTCAAAGTAAAAGTTACTCTATCGTCGGGAGTCTTCAGAATTGATTAAAAAAAAAAAAAACTAGAAGCACAGTGGGCTCAACATGAGGCTACCTAAGCGGCAATTCAAAGCCCCCAAACCCCAGAGCTCACAGCCGGGCAGTCAGCAGGCAGACAGCTCACCATGTGTATGTGGTGGCTGGAATCAGGACTCCAAGCGTGAAGACAGCCCTAGCCTTGCACCCACCAGCAGCCAACAGGCTGCTGGAAGTTGAAACCCCCAGGCCCAAAGTCACCCACTCCTCAATTCCATCCACCACGCAATACTGGCAATAGGTGGGACCTGGGCCTGCCCTTTTCTCCAGACTGCCCCCTTTGGTGTACTCACCATGATGGGAGCTGCCTCTGTAGCTCAGGCAGGTCTGGGGACAGGTCACCGCATGTATGTGGTGGCTGGAATCGGGGCTCTGAGCATGAAGACGATCCCGGCCTGGCACCCATCACCAATAAAAAAAAAACTTTAAAAAAAATTGGGGTTCCAGCATGGTGGCCTAACAGCTAAAGTCCTCACCTTAAACATGCCGGGATCCCATATGGCCACTGGTTCTAATTCCAGCAGCTCCCCTTCCCATCCAGCTCCCTGCTTGTGGCCTGGGAAAGCAGTCGAGGACGGCCCAAAGCCTTGGGACCCTGCACCTGTGTGGGAGACCTGGAAGAAGTTCCTGGCTCCAGGCTCCTGACTCAGCACTGGCCGTTGGGTCACTTGGGGAGTGAATCATTGCATGGAAGATCTTTCTCTCTGTCTCTCCTCCTCTCTGTATATCTGCCTTTCCAATAAAAATAAATAAATCTTAAAAAAAAAAGAATTGGGGTTCAACTTACAAAAAAAAAATTTCAAGAAGATGAATCTATGATGGAGCATTAATGTCAAGCAAACAAATGTACAGAATTTGAAATGTGTTCATATAATTGGGGAGTTTGAGGGAATAAATCATAAGGTAGTTTCAGTGGCTGCCAAGTGGGAATCTGTCTTTTTGTGTTTGGAAAATCCTTCCTCAGGAATCTTCAGAGATGCCAAACACTGCCTATTACAGAAATCAAATATGGAATTCAGCACAGCAGCCTAGTGGCTAAAGTTCTTACCTTGCATGCTCTGGGATCCCATATGGGCACCAGTTCGTATCCCAGCTGTTCCACTTTCCATCCAGCTGTCTATGGCCTGGGAAAGCAGTTGAGGACAGCCCAAGCCTTGGCACCCTGCACCCACATGGGAGATGCAGAGAAAGCTCCTGGCTCCTGGCTTTAGATCCACTTAGCTCCAGCCCATTGTGGCCACTTGGGAAGTGAGCCAGTGGAAGAAAGATCATTCTCTCTGTTTCTCCTTCTCTCTGTGGATTTGACTTTCCAATAAAAATAAATAAATCTTTCTTAAAAATATTTTGAATATGCCAGACATTTGCTTTCCCCTTGCAGCCAGCTGTGTCATAGGCACAGAACCAGTCAGACACACACTGACTTAGAACTGGAACCACACAGGCAGCGGAATTGGCAGGAGCCCCTGTCAGTGCTGGGCGGGAGGAGGGAAGGAGCAGTGACTGACTCCCAGTTTCCGGCTCTGCAGCCAGGAATGGGCAAGCCTGGGTGAACTGGTGTTGCCCCAGGAAAGGTTTCCCTCACCAGACTGGTTCTGCAGCCTTGGTCCCAACACCACCCCTGGCTGCCTGCCTCTGGGTCTCAGCCCCCACCGAGAAGACTGGGATGGAAGCAGTGCCTTTTATTTATTTATCTTAAAAGATTTAAGTTCTTGGGCCTGACGCAGTGGCCTAGCAGCTAAAGTACTCACCTTGAATGCACTGGGATCCCATACGGGCGCTGGTTCTAATTCCGACAGCTCCGCTTCCCGTCCAGCTCCCTGCTTGAGGCCTGGGAAAGCAGTTGAGGACGGCCCAATGCTTTGGGATCTTGCACCTGTTGGGAGACGTTGAGGAGGTTCCTGGCTCCTGGCTTCGGATTGGAGCAGCACCGACCATTCTAGTCATTTGGGGAGTAAGTCATCAGATGGAAGATCTTCCTCTCTCTCTCTCCTCCTCTCTATATATCTGGATTTGCAATAAAAATAAAATAAATCTTAAAAAAAGAGAAGATTTAAGTTCTTATTTGAAGGGCAAAGCAACAAAGAGACAGAAAAAAAAATGTATCTGTAATAAATTCCTTGTTAGCCTAACACACCAATAGAGTAAAAGCAGCAGTTTTGGGGTCCTTCCTGAACAGAGCAGCACCTGCCTGGGCTGTCTTCCCCTGTCCCCTGATACAGCCCCATTTTCTGCACATCTGCCAGCATTTCTTGCAGTTGGCAACTCAAGGAAGCAGTTGAATCTGGGGCTTCTGTGTGTCTGGCTCAAGCAGCTAGCCCTTTCTGGTCACCAGTGGGAAGGAGGGCAGAGGCGGGCTCATGTGGGTGCCTGGTGGCCCTCCCAGGGAAGGCCTCTCCACATTATGGGGAGTAGCAGTTAACGGACAAGGTGGCCATATTAGAACCTGATTTGACTTTCTTCAGAAGTCAGAAAAGGTTTGCTGGAGGGAGGAATTCTGAGCTGGAACTTGTCGGGTAAGTGTGAGGTAGGTAGAAGAAAGTAACAGGCAGAGAGTTCAGGCCCAGGATGGAAGTGAGCAGCAGTGGGTGTGGGCGGCAGGTATTGCCTACAGCAGTTAAGATGCCCATGTCTAGCTTTGCGCAGTAGCAGTATTGCAGACAATAAGGTTCATCTGAGACACAACTATTGCTAATTGAAAAGATGCCCATGTCCCCATATCCCGGTGCCTGGACTCGAATCCTAGTTCGGCTCCTGACTCCAGCTTCCTGCTGACGCAGACCCTGGGAAGCTGTAGGGAGGGCTCCCGTGACTGGGTTCCTGCCCAAACCTGGATTGACTTTCCAGCTAGCAGTTTTGGCCCTAGCCAAGGGTAACACTAAGGCATTTGGGGACTGGACCCTTGCAGAGTCTCAGGTAGCAAGGAGATGAACAGGCCTGGTGGGGGATGGAGAGCAGGTGGGAGGCTGTCACGAGGAAGCAGGGGAGAAGTGGGGCTGTGGATGGGAATGACAAGGGTGGGGCTGGAGAACAGCACTTGGCGACAGGCTGGCTGAGGAGCTACTGCTGACAGCAGCCTCACACCAATTGTGTAGCTGGTATAACCGAGGGTGGGCCAATGTCATTCACCAGTCTGGATGACAACAGGAGGAGATACCCTTAGGAGATAGGGGACAAGCTCAGTTTGAGACATGCATGCCTGTGGCACCTGCATGTAGGCAGTTGGACAAAAAGAACAAAGGTTGGCCCATGAGTGCCCTGAAAGAGCAGGGAACAAAGGTTCAGGGAGTGGGAGAAAGCCAGGCAGGTGTCCCCGGGCGAAGGGGAAGCCCACGGGAGGGCGAAGCATGGGTGTGCAGGGGTGGACTCCAAGGTCCTGAGAAGGGCCCAGGGTGCAGAGGAGTAGGGCTCATCCGTGCCTTAGCAGGGGACCAAGTCAGCCGGGTAGTGGAGGGATAGCTCCTGCCCACAAGTGAGGGGATGGCGGCAGGAAACAGGGCCATGAAAAAAAAATTTTTAAGATTATTTTTATTTTTATTGGAAATTCAGATATGCAGAGAGGAAATTCTTCTGTCTGCTAGTTCACTACTTTAGTGGCCGCAATGGCTGGAGCTGAGCTGATCCAAAGCCAGGAGCCCGGAACTTATTCTGGGTCTCCCATGCAGGTGCAGGGTCCCAAAGCTTTGGGCTGTCTTCAACTGCTTTTCCAGGCCACAAGCAGGGAGCTGGATGGGAAGCAGGGCAACTGACACCCATATGGGATCCTGGAGTGTTCAAGGTGAGGACTTTAGCTGTTAGGCTACCATGCCAGCCCACAATGAAAATGTAAAGGGTGTGAAATTACACAACTCTGAGAAGGCAGCTATGGAGGGAGCTGGGGGGTGGGAACTGGAGAACTTCAAAAAGGATGGTCGGGGTGAGGGTGGCAGGAATCCTCCCCCAGAGGCCGCCCCTGTGGGGAAGGAAAGTGGCAGAGAGCAGAACCAAGGAGGGCTTGGGGGAAATTTGTGGAGGGAGGTGATAAGGGCCTGTGTCCGGGCGGGGGAACTCTGCTCTCAGGGTCACAGAAGCCCCTATCGGGCTGGTGTTTCCTCCCATTGCCCACCACCTTCCTGCCTCTGTCCACGCCTTCCCCGGAGCTGGAAGACAGAAGCTCCCAGCCACACCCTGGAGGACATTCTGTGCCTTCGGAGGTCTTTCTGCTTGCCTGTAAGCCAGGGCTGGGCTCGGGGAGGACTGGGCTCTGAGGGACGGTTGAGCACCTGCAGTGGTAGCTTAGGCTCGGAGGCGAGTCCGGGTGGGAGGTGGCGAAGTTGGGAAGTATGGAAGCCAAGTTTCCATAAGGGATCTTGGGCACTGCAGGTGTAGGGCTGGCGCCTGGAAGAATGATACAAGGGCTGGTTGGGGAGGTGGGGAGGAGCGTGGCCGCTCAAGTACCCCTCACCCGCACCCACCCGCAGGTCCCCATGCTGCTCCTGTTTTTGCTGCTCCTGTTGACCAGCCCCTCGCACCCCCATCATCCCTGTGAGGTCTCCAAGGTGGCCAGCCAGGTGGAAGTGAACTGTGATCGGCTACAGCTGAAGGCGCTGCCTCCCGGCCTGCCAGCAGACATGACCAGCCTCCACCTGGGTGAGAACACCCTGGTGACCTTCTCCATGGCCTCCCTGGTGCCTTTCAAACGCCTCGTCCAGCTCCACCTGGACCAAAGCGAGCTGACCAGTCTGCAGACTGACCATATATTGCCCCTGTTGCAGACACTGGATCTCTCCCACAACAAGCTCAAGACGTTGCCCTCACTGGGGCGTGTGCTACCCGCCCTCACCTCTCTGGACGTTTCCTTCAACTTGCTGGCGTCGCTGGCTTCAGACGCCCTGGATGGCCTGAGCCAACTCCAGGAACTCTACTTGCAAGGTAACAAGCTGAAGGCTCTGCCCCTGAACCTCCTGGCACCCACAACCCAGCTGCGGAAACTCAATCTGGCGGAGAACAAGCTGAATGACCTGCCCTCTGGGCTCCTGGACGGGCTGACGGAGCTGGACACGCTCTACCTGCAAAAGAACTGGCTGCGCACCATCCCTAAGGGCTTCTTTGGGGACCTCCTCCTGCCTTTCGCTTTTCTCCACGACAACCCTTGGTACTGTGATTGCAATATCCTCTATTTCCGTCGCTGGCTGGAGGACAATCCCCAAAACGTCTACCTGTGGAAGGAGGGGATGGATGTCAAGGCCATGACCCCCAATGTGGCCAGCGTGCGCTGTGTCAACATGGCCACCATACCCGTCTACACCTACCCAGGGAAGGGCTGCCCTGATGACGAGGAGGATCAGGATTATGATCAGTACTATGAAGAAAAGAAATCTGTAGGTGACACGCTGCCTGCCACGAGAACTGTGATCAAGTTCTCCATCAGCACTGATGCCCAGACAACAACCCACTGGGGCCTCCTGACATCACAGTCTCCTGCTGATCCAAGTCAAATGTCCTCCTTGCTGCCCCACGAGGAACCCACGTTGAGAGAGGTCAGTTCCACCACATTTCTAAACACAGCAGACTCTGCCGCATTCTCTACAGTGTCAGCACCTACTACAGCACCTACTGCAGCCGGGACCCAAAAATTCATAACCTGGAACACCTCAGGACCCATCTTGGTCTTGACAACCCTGGAGCCCAGCACAACTCCCATGACCTCTGATCCCACCACAACACCTACCACTCCCAAGCCCACCACAACACCTACCACACCCAAGCCCACCACAGCCCTGACTACCCTGGAGTCCACCTCAGAATCCACCACATTCCCAACCACCTCAGCCCCGACCAAGCCCAGCACAACCTCAACCGCCCCCAAGGCCACAACAGCCCTGACTGACCCTGAGCACACCTCAGAATCCATCACAGTTCCAACAACCCCCAAGCCCACCTCAGAATTCACCATATCCCAGACCACCTTAGCCTCTACCACCCCTGAGCCCACCACAGCCCTGACTGCCTCAATTCTGACTGGCTTGGAATTTGCAGCTTCCCCAGGGGCCCACCTGGCATCTCAAGGGACTTTCCGGAGCTCCAGCAGCGACCCTTTCCTCAGCTCTGACCTCTGCTGTCTCCTCTCCCTGGGTTTCTACATCTTAGGTCTCCTCTGGCTCCTGTTGGCTTCTCTGCTGCTCATCCTGCTGCTGACCCGGGTCCAGCCTAGGGAGCTGCAGGCCCTGGCCTCTGGCCAAGCTGCTCTGCCGGCTGTGGCCACACAAGTCAGTCACCTGGAGCTGCAACGGGGGAGGCAAGTAACTGTCCCCCGAGCTTGGCTGCTTTTCCTTCAAGGCTCACTCCCCACTTTCCGTTCCAGCCTATTCCTGTGGGTGCGGCCTAATGGCCGCGTGGGACCCCTGGTGGCAGGCCGGAGACCCTCGGCCCGCAGTCAGGGGCGTGGAGAAGATCTGCTGGGCATGGTGGGCATTAGGTATGCTGGCCACAGCCTCTGAGGATGGGTAATTTGGGGGGATCTGAGAGATGTCCTCCCAAAGGGCTTTCCTGTTGGGGTCTAGCTGGGATGGGATGGGGGTAGTCTTAAGTATATTCATTTACCAGCAGCCTCCTTTCCACCTCAAGGCATGTCACCTCTGCCCCCACATGTCAGGAGGAATTGGGAGATGGAGGGATTGAGCAGGACCACAGGACAAAGCCCCCTGTACTGGGAGGGGCCACCAGGCCAAATGGTTCTTCCCCAACACATTTGGGAAGGTTTCAGGTAAAAGCAAAGGAGCACGGCTTGCACAGGCCTCTGCGCATGATTTAGAAAGCAACCTTACCAAGATATGGGCACTGCTCGAGTGTCTCTGGCTGTTACAAATCAGGGTGGTTTTCTTTTATTCTGCTTAGCATTTTCCAGTCGTAATACACAATGCCCTCACTGGATAGCATTTGTATAATAAAAATGATTTGAACGTGACAATGTGCTGGGTACCTATCCTGAGCCATCTTAAGGTCCCAACAGGCCCCTACCTGAGTCATATGGCCCCTTCAGTGAACTCAGGGCCGGGGTTTGCCTGCACCTCTCCAGTGCCCACTGCTCTCTTGCAGGGGTGACCACCTGCTGGCTGGAAGAGTCAGATCCAGCTTGGGAACCCTAAGTCTTGCTGGAGTTTGGTGATGCTAAGGCCTGCCTACCTACCTGTAGCCGGCAGCACTGAGAGTGAAGGTGGTTGCCTGCCTGCACCTGCAGCTTTGGAAATGCACCTCTCCTTAGCAGAGGAAGGGTGGGCCCAGCCTGGTAGGTTTGAGTGAATTATTTGGATATTCTTGCCTTCCAATTAGGATGCAGGGACATGGAGCAGTTCCCTCCCTCTGGTTCCAAATTTTGCTCTTCCTAAGCACTTTGGCAAGCAGCTCTCCTGCCCAATGCAGGCTATGGAGCACACAGAATGGGATATAGGCCTTGTCTGTCTGGTTCCATGGGGTGCCCCTACCCATCTGGCTTTGGAAATATCTCCCCAGGCTAAAAATCTATAATCTCTTTCCCTTTTAAACTTCTATTCACACCTTTATCTGAAAGGCAGAAATTTTTTTCCCCACCCTCTGGTTTACTCCACAAACACCCACAGTAGCTAGCATTAGGTCATGCTGAAGCCATGAACCTAGAACCCAATGCACCTCCCATGCAGGGACCCAGGTACTTAAGACATCATTTAGATGCCTCCAAGTTGCTGCCTCCTAGGCATGTATGCCAGCAGGAAGCTAGAAGCCAGGGCAGAGCCAGGACCCAAGCTCAGGGCATCCAGTACAGGCCATGGGCATCCCAGGCCAAATGCCCACCCTGCTCCTGCATTCTTCCCTGGGATACACCATCAAGGACGTGCCTACCCAGCTTCCCCTCTGGCGACAGATGCCTTGATCTGTGCTCCAGTAATCATGAACATCTCATAGGTCACCTGCTTCTCCATGCTTCTCCTCCAGCCAGGAGTGCTGTGTCCACCTCCCCGATCCTTCCCAACAGCCTCACTGCCACTGGCACAGGTGTCTCAGGTTTCCCTGCTGTGGGTTACCGCTATACCCCATCTCCCAGCTGCTCCCCAGTCATCTTCCCCTCTAGACTTGGGACTTGTTAAAGTCAGGGTCCAGGCGTTCAAGTCCCTCCAAGTGGTGACTGTGGCCTGGGACACTGTGTACATGGAGGAGGCAAAGAGGCAGTAAGACAGAAGGATGCTGAGCCCCACTTCTTCCTCTGTTGACAATGCTCCGCCAAGGGAGCAGTTCCCACCTGCTGCCTGCCTGTCCCTGCCTGGCATGTGGCCCTTGGGCCTCTTGTCCTCAGCACTCCTTCCAGCGTGACCTTCCCACGCCCTTGCACGCCCCAGCAGGCTTTTGGCTCCTTTGAGAGCAGGGCCTGGGAGACACGCACCACCTCCTCAAGAAAGGGACAAGACAATAATTCCTCCAAGGGTTGGATCAGGACTCCACACCTCCCCCAGCCCACGAGGGTCATACTTACAAGACTCCCCATCGTCAGCAAAGGTAGTCACCAGGCCCCAGGCCTTTTCCAGGGATTATGGGAGATGACTTGTGCACCTGCCACCCTCCTGGACCAGGGGCCTGGAAGTCTGTTTCCTGAGCCCCATCAACTCTGGGGGCAGGAATGATTTACACAGCCTTGGCAGAAACCAGCAGGGTCTTTTGCTTTAATAATTTCTGCTGAAAACTCCAGTTCCTGATTCCTGGGCGGGGGGCGAGGGGGGACTTGGCTTCTTTGTCTAGTCTCCTCCCCTTTTACACCCCCAAAACCCTCTAGATGCGGTTATCACCAATGCAATTTATTAAGTCCCCAGTGAGGCATCCCACTGAGGACCCCTGGCCATCCTGTTGGCTTCTGCGGTCGGCCATCTCTTCCTGCTTCCTGGGGACCCCACGGGAGGGACCTTCTGCTGTCCTGTATCCCTGAAGCAAACACCCAGGAGGAGATCAGAAATCTCCAGGACTTCGCCAGCCCCTCCCCAAAGCACAGCCAGGGAGGGAGTGGCCACAGGGGCCAGGACAAGCTGGAGGAGGTGACAAAACAGACCAAAGTCCTTTACCATGAAAGGAGGAGGGGGAACCACACTGTGGAGGGGCAATAAATAGAGGGGCCTGGGGCAGCTGAGTCCAGGGCCCTCCCGCTGTCCACCCCAGGGCGCAGTGACCGGAGTAGCTGGTGACCGGGAGCCCTGGCACACTGATTCCGGCTCCCGGCTTCCTCAGCCGCTGAGGAAGAGACGCTTGTAGGCCTTGTTCATCTGCTCCAAGAAGATGAAGGTGAGGACCGTGTGGGGGCCCAGGCGGGCATAGTACGGTGTGAAGCCCTTCCACAGGCTGAAGAAACCCTCGTAGCGCACCACCTTCACCAGCACATCCTAGGGAGACAGGCGGGTAGGGTGCTGCGGCTCAGGCCTGACCTTGGGGCCCTGCGTCCCCTTCCCCAAAGCCCTCCCCAGCTGTCCCAACCCTCCAGCCCCAGCCAGGGCAGCTTCCTCACCAGCCCATTTTTGTATTCTGGCTTCCCGTCAATCATGCGCATGTTCTGGATCCTGAAAGGGAAGAAATTGAGGGGAGAAGGACCGTGAAATGCAGAAAGGGGGTCATCTTACTCCCCTTTGCCAGGTCCAGGCCTGCCCTCACCGGGTCTTGACAATGTCCACGGGCATGGAGGCGGCAGTGGTGACGAGGCCACTGATCATGCTGGCGCAGAAGTGGCACAGGATGTTGTCGGAGAAGTAGCCTGGAGGGGAGAGGAGAGGAGGGTGAGGCGTGCAGAGCGTTGACTTGGACGGGACTCAGGCCCGGCTGGGAGTTTGGGGCCCAACTCTGGGTCTTACCCGAGTCCAGCAAAAACTGCTTTGATTGAGAGTAGGAGGCGAGCTGGGCAGCATTGACGACGACAGCCCGTGCCATGGTGGGGATACAGCCCTGGAGACGGGGAGCAGGCAGTCAGTCAGGAAGGCAGAAGCCCTGACCCCTGACCCCACATCTGTCAGGCCGAGCCTCAAGCCCCTTCACTCACCCGCCATAGTGTGGGGACACCCTCTTCCCGGGCAATTCGAATCAGGGCATTGAACACGTTTTTGTAACCACGGCGTTGATCAGCTGGAAGCCTGTTGGGAGGGCAAGGAGAGGTGACGATCAGGATGGCCCATCCGGACCCAGAAACGCGAAGGAACGTTAGCCTGAGCACGGAACTAATCTGTTCTAGAACTGGAATGAAAACATAGTCTTTTGGGGGCCAGCGTGGTGGTACTATGAGGTAAGTCACCACTTGCAACTTCCTTAAGGGTGTTGGTTAGTGTCCCGGCTGCTTTACTTCTGATCCAACTCCCTGCTAATGCGCCTGGGAAAGCAGCAGAGGAAGGCCCAGCTGCTTGAGCCCCAGCCGGCATGAAGCTCCTGACTCTTCCGCTTTGGCCTGGCCCAGCTCTGAGTGTTGCAACCATTTGGAGAGTGACCAACAGGTGGAAAAATCTCTCTCGCTCCCTCTTCTTGGTAACTGCTTGTTGGGGAGAATTAATCATTTCATTCTAGATCTTGTGCTCAGAGCTGTAACTCACCGGCCGTCGGCGGTCATTCGGATCAGAGCCACCTCCGCTGGGGTTCCCACAAAAGCACCCGTTGCACCTGCAGTCATGCCAATCAGGGCCTTCAGCAGAAAGCCAGGAGGTGTGCCGTCAGCCCCGGTCAGACGCTCAAACAGCACGGTATAGATGCCAAGACGTGTCGTGGTGTAGGTGGCCTGGCGCAGCAGGCCAGCAGATAACCTGGAGAGCAAAGGGCATCAGTGTCTCAGGGCCAAATCTGTAGCCTTCCAAACCACACGCTATTCCCCCAAGCCTGGAGGCCCTCGGTACCCGGTGTAAATGCCCCTTAGCCCTTCTGCCCTCAGGATGCTGGTAAGGGCATGGAAGCTGGTTTTGTATTCTCTCGTCTTGGCTCCTTCTCCACTCAGCTGCATGCGGTTCTTCACCAGATCCAGGGGTTGCACAAACACGGTAGCTCCCATCCTAGAGAAAGGTGGAGGCAGGGTTAGGGGACACGTGTCTCAGATCTACTGAAGCCCACCGCAGCCCGGCAGCAAGGGTTTACAGAGGCTAAGGCCTACCATGGATTACGGATTAAGGAGGGCTGGCAGGCAACGGGTTCTGAGAACTCCCTTGTCCAGCAGGGGTCATGCCATGAAGCTTGATCCAAGTAGCTCCACAAGGGTGGGGGTTAAAGCAGGGAGCCCTGCATGCGACCCAGGGAGGGGAGCATGGGAGGACCCACGCCTTGGAACACTAAGGAGAGCCCCAAGAGTCACTTAAGGGAACTCTATGCAGCCTTGCAAAGCCAAGTCAACAGACCTTGTAGCTGGGCAGAGGGTGTGGGGGTGGTGGGTCGTTCCAAGACCGTGCATGCAGCCAGGAGCCTTGCAAGGAGTGTATAGAATGTCGCAGCCCATCAAGAACCTCCCCACACGCTGGGGGATCGTGCTGTCCCACGCAGTCTCAGCTCACTGAGACTACCCAGCGATGCACTGGACACCTCCTTCTCCGGTCCCATCCCCCAGGGCCTGAGCTTACCCGGCCAGGCCCCCAAACAGGAACTTGACGGACTTAGGGGAGGTACGGGGCTTGCCGTCCATCCCGCCGGCCCCGGGACTCGCCGTCGCCGCCATCGCCACTCAATGGGCCCAGGCTCCCGGGTCCCGAGAGCGCGTGGCCCCTCTCGCGCCCAAGGTGACACCGCGCGCGCGCACGAAGCCGAGTGCGCGTGCACACCCCTCCAGCTGCTCCGGTCCGGCACGCCAGCCGGGAGTGAGCGCCGCGCAGGCGCACAGCGCAAAGGCCGCCGGGAGGCTGGCGTCGCTGGGGGCGGAGCTTCAGGGCCGCGTGCGGAGGGGCGTGGCCGATCTGGAACCCGCTCGTCCCGAACTGCAATCGCGGGAAAGTAGGGAAGCATTGGGTTCGGCGTCTCGCGAGATCGACAAAGTCCAGGCTGCCAGGAGTAGGAGCACTCTCGCGATATCTAAAGCCAGCTTTTGGGGGTGGGGGAGGAAGGTGGTAAGCATTCTCGCGAGACTTGGAGCTACGGTGGCGGCGGCCAGAGGGAGCCGAGAGGTAAACAGGGCAGGTCCAGTTCCCGGGCACGAAATGGGAAATGGTTAGGTCCCCTTCGGGAGGCCCCCGGGCTGCCTCCGTCTCTGCAGGCATTCCCGCCATCGCTAATTTTTCCCTTTAACCGGCCTTCCAGGACCGGAAGTCCTTCGTCTGGAGCGTCCGATGCTGGGAGTGACCCTTTGTCGGATACCTTTTTCCGGGGGATAGGAAGACGGCCCACCTGGCCGGAAGTCCCACCTCCTGGCGCTCCCCGAAGTTTTCCCCCTGCTGTCACCTGTGTCTCCTACCGTCCATTGCCCCGGTTTCGTCCTCCCCCATCCAGGAAAAAGGGTCCATTGAGTGTGTCTGGCCCAGCTCCTCTCGCTCCCCGAGTCGGGGTTCCTTCCCCGGCGCCCCCATGTAGCTGGGCAGGGGGCCTGGGGGTGGTCGGACCCCTGGGATCCTAGGGCGCAGCATCCCTCTCCTGCTGTCGGCCTTCCCGATCTCTGGCTGCCATGCACCCGTCGGCCTTCCCGCTCCCTGTGGTGGTGGCCACGGTGCTGTGGGGAGCAGCCCCCGTCCGAGGGCTCATTCGAGCGGTGAGTCTGGAACGGACGCCTGACGGAGGCGGCGCAGAGGGGAGGGCTTGCGGCTCGAGCGGGACCCGGACTTTTTTTTTTTGCCCGCAGACCTCGGAGCACAATGCCAGCATGGACTTTGCAGACCTACCAGCTCTGTTTGGGGCTACCCTGAGCCAGGAGGGACTCCAGGTGACTTGCTTCTTCTCCCCGGCCCCATCCTTTAAAATTTTTTTTTTTAACTCTCCAAATCCTCCCTGCTGGGCCGGGGTTGAGGAGCCCCTCCCCGGGTGAAGCTTAAGAACCAAGTGCATGAACATGTGTGGTGTCCAGAATCTAGAGGGAGAAACCTAGACCTCCCAGCTTACTGAGCTAAAAGGCAGGGTGAGGGGCTGCTTGCCAGTGTGGTCTCCAGCCTGTTAGTGTGATTGCATGACCTTGGCCATATTTGTTGTCACTGCAAATCTTTGTTTACTGTGAAGACAGCCTGTGAAAGTTACTTTGGAGTTACTGTTGAGGGTTCCATGAGATAAGACAGTTAATAGCACTCTGTCTTGCAAAGACTGCCATGCAGCAGGAGCTCAGATGGGCTGTGGATCTGGGTACCGACTAATCTAGGAAAGGGACATGGAAGCTGGGATACAGGTCAGCGCATCCAAGGAAGAATATAGACTCTTGGGTTTGGGGTGGGGGTGCTGAGACCCCAGGAATGAGAAGCAGCTCCAGATGAGACACTGTACTGTGTGAGGCCCATGTCCAGGGAGAAGCCTAATTGTTATTTGCCTCTTTCCCTTAGGGGTTCCTTGTGGAGGCTCACCCAGACAATGCCTGCAGCCCCATTGCCCCACCACCCCCAGCCCCGGCCAACGGGTCAGTCTTTATTGCACTGCTTCGAAGATTCGACTGCAACTTTGACCTCAAGGTTGCTGAATATATGGAGCGGGAGCTGGGAAGCTGAGGGTGAAGAAGGTGGTTCCGGAAATGAAGGCAGATGAGGTCAGTGATGGCTTCCCCCTCCCCACTTGTCCCCCTAGGTCCTGAACGCACAGAAGGCTGGGTATGGTGCAGCCATAGTGCACAATGTGAATTCCAACGAACTGCTGAACATGGTGTGGAATAGCGGTAAGGGTGGAAGGGCTGGAGGCGCGGGCCAGAGAAGCCAGCATGCTGGGCGGGATGGGACAGAGTTCCCTGAGAGCATGGGGAGTGGGAGGTGGAGCCCCCCGCCTCACCACCAGCCCCCTTACAGAGGAGATCCAGCAGCAGATCTGGATCCCGTCCGTGTTCATCGGGGAAAGGAGTTCCGAGTACCTGCGTGCCCTCTTTGTCTACGAGAAGGGGTAGGACAGGGGCTTACCCCACCCCCTCCATGTTCCCAGAACAGTGGCATTGTCCTCTGAACTTTGTCCCCATGCCTTCCTGGCCCCTCAGACACTGGTTTTCCTTTCCCCAGGGCCCAGGTGCTTCTGGTCCCAGACAATAGCTTCCCTTTGGGCTATTACCTCATTCCCTTCACCGGGATTGTGGGGCTGCTGGTTCTGGCCATGGGAGCGGTGATGGTGAGTAGCAAAGGGGACAACGAGATGGGGAAGAGCAGGACTTACAAAGCCAGACGGGAACAGAGGCATGGTTTGTGCACATGTCCAGTTCATTCCCTGAGCCTGATCCATCTGCTTCCCTTCTCCTAGATAGTTCGCTGTATCCAGCACCGGAAGCGGCTCCAGCGAAATCGACTCACCAAAGAGCAACTGAAACAGATTCCTACACATGATTATCAGAAGGGTAAGGAGTCAAGGGGAAAGGGATCCCTTTTTCACAACTTACCTGCTCTTTGGAGGAGTCTGAGTCTAGGAAATAAGAGGTTAAAGGGCAGGGAGCGAGCATGAGAAGGCATCAGCTTGAGGGGCTCCCTGTATTACCCATCGATTCTTGAGGACAGACAGAAATGGAGTTGAGCTGGAAAGCAAAGGTGGTTAAGGCAGCTGGGAGAAGTAGAAGGGTGGACCCTGCCTCCAAGGGAGGAAGCGGAGAGGGCAGAAAAATGGGAGTGGAGAGGAGGAACAGGTAAAGGGAGGAGAGGCTGGGTCTCCTGGCCCTGTAGCTGCCAGTGCCCATATAAGGCGATAACAGGAGGCCTGCCCCATTTCCGCTCCTCCTCCTGTCTCTCCACCCTACACCTCCCCCAAAACCCACTTCCTTACCTCTGCTGGTCTGCTTGAGCTAACACCCCCCCCCCCTCAACTAGCTTCACCCAGCCAGCTCTTACATAGGTAGAAACAGGAGAAATAGGTTTTTGCAGGACTCTGCTCTACCCCAGCCCTCATCCTGAGGTGTGTCACTGGGCTTATTTTCTCTCCAGGGGACCAGTATGACGTTTGTGCTATCTGTCTGGATGAATATGAGGATGGGGACAAGCTGCGGGTCCTCCCCTGTGCTCACGGTAAGGCTGGCACTGCCTGCATCCAAACCAGGTGCCCAGTGCTCAGTCAGGCACCAGCTGTTCCACCTCCTGCCTCTCTGCAGCCTATCACAGCCGCTGTGTGGACCCGTGGCTCACCCAGACCCGGAAGACGTGCCCCATCTGCAAGCAGCCTGTCCACCGGGGTCCTGGTGATGATGAGGAGGAAGAAACTCGGGGGCCAGAGGAGGGTGAGGAGGAAGGGGAGCCTCGCGATCATCCTGCCTCAGAGCGCACCCCACTCCTGGGCTCCAGCCCAACACTCCCCACTTCCTTTGGGTCCCTAGCTCCAGCCACCCCCATCTTCCCTGGGCCCTCAACAGACACTCCACCATCTCCTTCCTCCGCTATCTTGGTGTAATGTTCCCCTCTTCACACCTCTGGTGACCTATTTGCACAGGCCCTCTTCCTCCCTCTGCTCTCCTAAACTGAGGGATGGGAACACTTGCATTCCATGTCACTCCTGCACCCAGCCTCAACCTTTGGAGGGTGGGGTCAAAAGGACTGCATCTTCACTGTTGGGTTAATAAAATTGTTTTTGTGGACTAAAGTTCCATCACTGTACCTGGGTGAGTTGAAAGGGACAGGGATCCTGGAGAAGATAACCTGGACTCAGAGGGACAGCCCCACAGGCATTTGTGTGACTCAGAGGGAAGCCCCACCCACTCATGAGGGTGACTCAACCAGCCCTGCCTTAGCCGCAGGCTTGGACCCATTCTCTAGTCCAATGACACTATTCTGTCAAGCACTAATTCCACTAGGGCGCTGGAAGGTCTGTGGGAGGGCTAGGCCAGTAGGTTCTTTGCCCCCAGCTTCTGGTGCCTCATCCTCTGCTCAGGATAAAGCAAGACAGTCTGTTCCCTCATCCTGATACCCACTCAAACCACACGGCACCTTGTTAGTAGAATCTTTTTTTATTCAGAAAAAAAAAAAAAACCCAAAAAACAAAAAAATGTTCTCCAATCACACACAGGAGGGGTATGGGTAGGGGGAGGTATCTGTCCATCCAGCCCCAGCCCCCAACCCATGTGGTTTTGGCAGCAATAAGGGTGTGGGATAATGGCCGAAAAAATAAAAATGGTGTTTGTGTGTATGTGGGAAGGAGGGGTGCAAAAGCTGTGGGCCGTGGTGGGGGGAAGGGGCAGACGAGGTCAGTACTGGGAACGCCGCAGGTGGGAGGCCATTTCATAACATTTCTTGTTGATCAAACCGCCATGGACACCTTCTTTGCCCATCAGTAGGACTAGCGCTGGAGAAGAGAGAAAGCAGGCTAGCACCCAGGTGTCCCCTCCCACCCCCTGCCAGCTGTTCGGCAGCTGTCCAGCCCCGGAGGCTGTAACCCAACCTCACCCTCCCAACCCCCCCACAGGCAGCCTGTCAGTCACCCTGAAACAATGGGGCTTTTCAAAAGGGGGGAGAGGAGCTAAATGCTGCAGACCAACAGACCCAAACCTAGGGGTCAAAGGCTGGGCCTAGCAACGGCTGGCTCATCCACAGCCAGCCGCTCACTATATAAGCTTCTAACAAAAAGAGCTCCAAAGAGGAGATCCGGGTGCTGACGGGAGACAATTCAGTCAGTTCCCAAATGTATTTCTAATGTGAGGATCCAGAGAGGAAGGAACTTGAAGAGGTACTGCAGTTCAAACTGCACCAGAACTGGTGGAAGTTGCAGCGTGATTGCACACTGACCCCTTTCAGGCTGGAGAACCAACACTAAGCCCCAAAGGGGAACAAAGCTCCAACTCACTCTTGGCAGTCATGGTGACAGTGACATTGAAGGTGGGCGCTCCGCTGCCACTCTTGGTGCGAAGATCCATGGTGAACTCCCCATCCTGTAGCAGCGAGTCCCGAATCACCGAGCACTTCTGGCCCCCAAGTGTCAGCCCATTCACAAAGAAGCTTGACCGGTCTTGGCCAACCAGGACACCAACCTCAGCTGGCTGCAAAAAGACACCAAGCCCCCATCAAGTTGTGCACCAAGGGTGCCACCTGCTTGCGACTTCCGGCATGGGGCGGGGGGAGTCATATGCTGTAAGTTAGCCTGCTCCCACCACAGCCTGCATTGGGAGAAAGCTAGGGCGAAGAGGACCTTCAGCCCTAGAAATGGGGAGGCCAGGAGGAAGGGGTGAGATCTGGGAGAGCAAAACTCAGGAATTACAAAAAAATAAAGGGCTGGGAGTCTGGGAGTGGAGGAGCCGGCGTCCGTGGATGCTCAGACCGCTCCTCCAGGAAAAGCAGAAGCCGGCAGGGGAAGGGAGGGGGCAGGCGAGGCCGCAGAGGCAACTTTGCCCTTATTTGGTCAAAGGTTCTGCGGGCGCACTCGGGGGCCCGGACGCCAGGGTCTCCAGGTCGCCCGGAGTCCAGGCCGGGGTGACCTCGGGCCGAGGCCGGGGAGCAGCCCCGGGGGGCTCTGCACCGCAAAGTTGGAAAAGTTCTGGAAGGGGGGTGGGGCCACATCCGCCAGGCGGCTCCCGGGTCTAACGGGACCCCCTCTCGGGGTACCTCGCTCCCCATCCCCCTTACACCCCAAACTCCATATCCGGTCCCCTCCCGCCCGGAAATCCCCTTCCCCCCTCTTCTGAACTTCCGCTCCCCCTCCCCACTTCCGGGCAGTGTGGCCAGGGGAGGCGGCGGTGTGGACACGGCCGCACTGACCATCCATCCCTCTCTTTCCTGCCCTCAACCACTCTCTCTTCTCCAAGTTCTCCCAAAGTTCCCTCGCTCCGGGTCAGGCCCGGATGGCGGGAAGGGCGGGCGAGGGGGAACTTCCGGGATTGGCCTCCCAGGAATGTGGGGCTGGCCGGGCCGACTTGGGGGGCTCCGGGGGGCGGGGAGGCGGCCGCGCCCTCTCTAACGGAGTCGGGAGGGACAGGGAGCCCCTGGAGGGCGGGCAGGGGCCCGAGACCACGCGCCCGGGCCGCCCTCCCGCACGAACAATGGTGGAGGGGCGCGAGAGGGCGGCCGGAAGGGGGAGCTTGGGGAAGGAGGCGTCCCCCCACCCCAGAGTCCCTCCTCAGGCACAATCCCGGGCGCAATGGCAGCGCGTGCCCGCCCCGCCCTGGGGGAGGCGGAAGTGGGCCGCGCACCGGGCGGCGGGGCGCGCCCCTCCCCGGCCCGTGCCCCGGATGTAACGCCCCGTCGCGGCAAGCGGGGCGGCGGGCGCAATGGTGGCCGCCTGCCCGCCCGGGCTGGGGGAGCCTTAGCGAGGGGGTCCACGAAGCGGGGACCCCCCAACACCTCCCAGCTCACGTGCAGCCGCCGCCATTCGCACCCCGCTTCTCCCGGAGGCCTTCCCCTAAGACCCTCCCCCAAGCCCGGCCTTCCCGCTCCGGGCCTCTCCAGTACCGTGATGTTGACGAAGGTTTTGCCCGGCACGGCGGCCCAGACCGAGGGCGAGTCCTTGTAGCCGACGATGGCCGCGTCCTGACAGGTCCCATCCGCCATGAGGTTGTCGATGTAGGCGTTCCACCCGGCCATGGCGCTGCTGCTCCTGGAGGGGACGGGGCTGCGAGGGCTGCGCGGCGGCTGCTGCTGGGGGGCCGCGGGCTGGCGGGCGGGCGGGCGGTCGGCGGAGAGCTCGGGGCACGCGCTGCCGTCCGGACCGCGGCTCTGGAGCAGTGCAGCAGCCCTCCTCGCACCGCCACTTCCTGCTCCTCCCCCCCACCCCTAGATTTTTATTTGCAAAGGGCGGTAGGGGCGGGGCCTGCTCCCCAATCCCTCCCTGCCCGCCCCCCACCACCACACACGCCTGCCCAGACACAGAAGTTTGTGCAAATGCAGTTTTTTTTTTTCCCCCTTCTTAAAATCCCTCCCCCTTATTGCAAAATGTGCAGAGTTCGATGGAAAGCTATGTAAAATGATGGGTGTGTGTGTGTGCGCGCGCGCGCGGCGTCCGGTAGTGACTGGGGAAGAGGTTCAGGTTAGGGAGCTCTCGGCGCTTCAAGTTTGCCTTTAATAGGCAGACGTGGGTAACGGGGCGAGGGAGCGGGCCGCTCAAAGGAAGGGGGCCGGCGGGGATGGAGAGGAAGAGTTGGCCCGTGGAAGCGCAGACGGGGAAGCCGGGGTTAAACGGAACGGCTCCTCCCTCCCCCACCTCCGCCTGCGGGCAGCGGGCGGCGGCGCGCGCCTGCGCGGGGCCGGGAGCGCGTGGGGCGGTTGGGCCGGCGGCGGGCGGCGTGGACCCTCGTAGGATGCCTGGGAAGAGCGAGGAGGGACTTGACATCGTCCCTCCGCGCCCCCTTCCCCTGTCAAAGATCCGAGGGGACACGGCTCGCACAGGGCGAACCCGTTCCAGCGCATCCCTTGGCTGCTGCGGCCACCCACGCCTCGCCCTCACGTACCAGTCCCGCCCGTCCCCTGGCCAGCAGCTACGGTCACTCGTCGTGCCCCTTGTCCCGTGTCCGCCGAGGTCACCAAGCGCCGCGGCCCGACGGGCGGGACTACTTCCCACCCCCACCCCAGGGCGGAAGAATACAGAAGTTCCAAGACCGACAACTTTAAAAAAAAAATTTTTTTTTTTTTCAAGAAAGTCCCTTCTCTGTGGGGCCCATTGGGGTTTTTCCTTGTGTTCTCAGTAAAAGTTGGGTGCGGATGGCCAGCCCTCCGCCCAGCGCGAACCGAGTGGCCGGCCCGGACCCTCGCCGCCGCCCAGGGCTGGGCCGCTTCCGGCCCGTCCGGGGGAGGGGCGCCGGGGTCAGGCCGCGGCCCCCAGCGCGGGAACGGGCAGGCTCCTCCCAGGCCGTCCCGGGCGGACCTGGGCCGGGGGTCTCCCGGCGCCCCCACCCTGCCGAGGCCGGCGGGCCCCCCAGCCCGCGCGCGTTCCTCGAGAGCCGCGTGGCGGAGTCGCGGGCGGGGCCGCCCTGGGGCACGTGGCGGCGCTCCCCGCCCGCCATCCCCTGACCTCTGACCTGCCGCACCCCCCACCCCGGGAGGAATAATCCCTGCGGGAGCGGCCTGAGATAAGGGGGTGGGGAGGGGCTTGGGGTGGAGGGTTCGCGCTCCGGCGGCGGCCGGGGTGAGTCACCGGGCGCGGGCCGCGCGGCGCCGGCGGGAAGGACTCCAGCTCGGGGGCGCGGCTGCAGCCGGCCCGACGAGGCGGGGTTAGCGAGTGCGGAGACCCAGCTCCCTCCCGGGCTGCGAGCCGCCGGGCGTCGGGATGTTCACAAAGGCCATCCGCTCCCTCCCCTCCATTCGTGTGTTCACCCCTGACTCCCCCGACCTGCACGGGGCGACGTTCCGAACCTGCCCCGCAGTCCTGCAAGGTCGGCGCCGCGCCAGCCCTTCCAAATTCGTTCCGAGTCCCCTCCCCTTACGCCCTAGCTGGCCGGGAGAGGGAAGGATGGGCTGGCGCCGCGAGTGGCCCTGATGAGGCTCCTGAGAGGTGAGACCCTCTCGCCTCCTGGGTACGGAGGGGTGGAGGTGGAGTGGGGGCTTCAGTGTGAGACCCCAACAGCCCGCGCAGATTCCCTGCTCCCTGCCTGCAGCCCGGCGAGCCGAACACGTGTGGGTGTCAATCCCGCAGCCCCTCTCACAGGCCCCCTCCTCAGCCGGGCCAGGGCTCAGGTTTCCCCTGGCATTTCCCAAAGGGCACTAGTTCCTCTTTAACCTTTGCAGAAAAGGAGCGGAGCGTGATCCCCAGAGAGGAGAGAGAGACCCCCCCCCATGGGAAGCCCCTCCCCTGCTCTTTCTGACCAGTGGAATTAAAAGTAGAGAGTTTTTATTGGGGGGGCAAAGAGAGAGGGGGTGTGTTTATCGTTGTCCTGGAGGAGCGGGGAGACAGGTGTCCTGGGCCAAAAGGCTTCTGCTTTAGGTTATAGTGGGCACTTGGCGGCCAGCTTGGTGTGGAAGGGGGAGGATGGAGAGGCGGGGCTCGCTGGGGACAGGGTGGCTCTCGGGGATAAATGCCCAGCCTGAGAGGGGTGAGCTGACACTGTCCCAGCTGCCACCTAGACTACGAGCTCCTTCCAAACTCCAGCAGAGACATCCCAGGTCTGGTGACTCCCAGCCCCAAAGGGTGGTGCTAGTTTGGAGAAAGTCGGGTGTGTGTGTGTGTGTGTGTGTGTTTGTGTGTGTGTGGTACCGGGCGGGGATTTCAGCATTTTTTTCTCCTTTGAGAACTGGGTTTGCTTGAGAAAGATTGGCAGGGCTGGAGTACTGGGTCATCCAAGGAAAAGAGGCTGTGAGGAGTGGGGAGGGGTGTCTAAGGCCAGTTAGAGCTGCCTGAGATGGAGATTGAAGCCCACAAAAGTTTGGGACCAAGATGAAAATCAAGTACTGGGGGCTCAGAAGCAGTAGGGAACTGACTGGCAGGCTGAGAAGGTAGAGGAAGGCACCAGGGTAGCTTGCGGGGGAAGGCGGGGCGGGTGGACTGCTGTGATGGAATCCAAGATGCTGAAGAGGTGAGGGGCCTGGTGTCAACCCCAGGGTGGAATAGGAGCTGCCCAGGATGGGGGAGGGGGCTGCGCCTGTCTCTTTGGTCAGTGACCTTTTTGAGGGGGTATTTTTAGCTGCAGCACCTGCCTGCTTGGGGTGGGGAAGACTCTTAAAGGGCAAGGGATTTCTGGTTCCTTGAGACATCGACCGTCCACGCTCACACCACGCGCCTCGCAGCCATGGCCATGCAGAAAATCTTCGCCCGGGAAATCCTGGACTCCAGGGGCAACCCCACGGTGGAGGTGGACCTGCACACAGCCAAGGGTAATCCAGGCCCACTGTTGTCTGGGAGGGGGCTCACAAGAACCCCAATGCCAGCTTCTACTCCTGGGCCCTATCCTCTTCTGCCCCCAGGCTTCTTCCAGCCTGACTGGGGAGTTGGGAGAAGCCTCAAGTTCTTGGGCTCAGAGCTGAGCCCGCAGCACTTTGCTGGTGGGTGGGACTCTGATGTGGCTGTGATTCCTGGCTCCTAGGCCGATTCCGAGCAGCTGTGCCCAGTGGAGCTTCCACAGGGATCTATGAAGCCCTGGAACTGAGAGATGGAGACAAATCCCGCTACCTGGGCAAAGGTGAGGGCAACTCAGCACAGCAGCAGGCTTGGGGTTCAGGACGGGGGTAGAGGCTGGGCACCCCCACTTTGGAGGAGCTAGGTTCCTGATTGACCTGGGAATGGGAACCCTCTCTCTGGCTTTTCTAGGGGTCCTCAAGGCTGTGGAACACATCAATAAGACCCTAGGCCCTGCTTTGCTGGAAAAGGCAAGTATAGGAGCCTGCTCCCCTGCCGCACACACCTGCCGCTTCATCTGGCCAGCCCTTCCAGCCCCCCAAATATTCCATGCACCTGTCTTCACACATGTGCCCCGACTCCTGAGACATCTGACACTCCTCTGCCCTCCCCTCTACAAATCTGTCCTTCCAGAAACTAAGCGTTGTGGATCAAGAAAAAGTGGACAAGTTTATGATTGAGCTGGATGGGACTGAGAACAAATGTGAGTTGCAGGGCGGGAGCCCCAGAAGGTCCCCCATGTCACTGGCTGGGGCCTGGCAAATGTTAACTTCCATATCCCACTTTGGGGGAATATACCGCAGCTAGGTGGGTTTCTACTCAACCCACAGGCATTTCCTGAGGCCTGCACTCCACCAGGTTTGCCCCTGTGGGACGCACATGTGCAGTGAACGTGGTCTCCTGGATCACCCTAGTGTTCTGGACCCTTCCTGGGGTGGCTAGAGGGAATGTTCCAGAGATCATCCCAATCCCTGCCAGAGGGGCACTCACCCTCCCTTCCCACTTGCCTCTTTGCAGCCAAGTTTGGGGCCAATGCCATCCTGGGCGTGTCCTTGGCCGTGTGTAAGGCCGGAGCGGCTGAGAAGGGAGTCCCCCTCTACCGACATATCGCAGACCTCGCCGGGAACCCCGACCTGGTGCTCCCAGTGCCTGTGAGTGCAGAGCCACCTCTCCCAGCCAGAGCCCCGGGAAAATCCACCTTTCAGACCCAGCTCCAAAGAAGCAGTTTCCTGAAACTGAATCTCTGGCTATGCTCCACCCTCCCTCTTTCCCACAATCCAGACTCTCCTTAAGCCTCTAGCTGCTTCCTTCCCTTGCCATGTAACCCGTTCCTTCACATTCCAATCTGAGCCTCACTAACTCTTAACCTCATTCCACCCTGTACGCCATCCCCGTCCCCCCAGTTAGAGTGCCAGCTTCATCATAACATGGATCTTGGCATTTCTGTATATATCTTTACTTTTTTTTTTTTTAATGTGAAAGGCAGAGCGTCAGAGATACATTCCTTCCACTTGTTCACTCTCCAAATGGCTGCAATAGCCAACACTGGGCCCAGATGGAAACCGGGAGCCAGAAACTCCATCCTGATTTCCCAAATGGGCGTCAGGGGCCCAAGGACTTGTGCTTTCTCACTAGCAGAAGCGGCAGCTGGATGGGAAGTGGAGCAGCTGGGACTTGAATCCACACCTGCCCCTGTATCTTCTTGAGTCCTTGTTAAACTCCTTTTAATGGGAACCTTTTGAACTCTGGCCTTAGTAATGTTACCATGTATTGTTCTAGGAAGACTGTATCACAGCAGCAGATGCCTGAGACAGTCTGGGGTTTGATCCTGGCTCTGCCTGTTGAGTGTGTGATCTCAGGCAGGTAGTTTAACCTCTCACTGCCTCCTCGCGGTAACAGGG